TAGTAGGCGTAGATTGGAAGAATAGAATGTGCGTGAGGATGAGGAATAGTAGTAATGAAGGGTTGGGGAATAGGATGTGTGAAACGAAATAAGGGGTAAGTGAGGAATGGAAGGAGACTTGTATCATTGAGCGGATGGTACAAGGGTGTGGGGCGGTTTGGGTGTCCGTGGTAGTTGGTGGGTGGATCTGTTATCAAGGCTACTATCAACCAGCGGGAGCGAACGGCCATTTTACAGATTCGTGAGAGAAACACAAAGAGGTTATTCTGAGAAATTTTACTCAGATCTTACCCAACAAAGAGATTCCCGCTCGCTCGCTCTCCGTGGATGTGAACTCTCGTCCATCTATATGTGTAGTATATTTACAAGTGTAATTTCCTGCACTGAAATTCGACAGGGTGAAATTTGCCGTGTGGATGTTTTCCGGAGCTCTCCGTGATGTGAAAAACTTGCCGTCTATGTATAAATAGAATTTGCTGCCTGGATAATTCCCAGTACATGAGAGCTGAGCGCTTACCCCTCTCACAAAGAACAGGTAATCTGGCTTCAGGGAAAGGATGGCTTTCTGAAGTGGATCTGAAATTAAAACAAAGTAAAGGTAGTCTCCCAAACAGTCACTCTGATCGGTTCTGTGACAGTGAACATCAGTGTCGACAATAAGCCCAGCCTCACCCTATGAGAATGTTTCTGTCTGAGGTTTAATACGAGCCAGAAATGTGGGTTGTTCCAACTACGTGTCTTGATTTGACGCTGCAGTTCTTCCGTATTGAAACATTTTTTGATGTTTGGGTCAGTCTTTCTGTGAGTTCGGAGTCAGTGTTAGCTCGGAAGCAGTGTTAGCTCGGAATCAGTCTCTATGTGAGCTGAGGGTCAGTGTGAGACCGGGGTAAATGCGCAGTCAAAGTTAGATGTACACTGACAGATAAACCATATTTTGATTTTGTGGTCAGCCTTTCTCTGAGCTCCGTGTCTGTGTGCGTTGGGAGTCAGTGTGAGCTCGGGGGGTTCAATGTGAGCTCGGGGTCAGCAGTAACTCGTGGTCAATGTGAGCTCCGATAGCAATATGTCCTTGGGGTCTGTGTGAGCTCGGACTCCGTGTGAGCTTTTGTTATTGTGAGTTCGGTCACAGTGTTAGTTGTGGCTCAGTATGAACTCGGGGTCAGTGAGAGCTCGAGGGTCAGTGTGAGCCGGGTTGCAGTGTAAGCTGGACGATCAGTGCAAGGTGGGGGTCAGTGTAGCGTGTGCTCGTGCTCCGTTTGAGCTCGAGGTCAATTGAGCTCAGGGTCAGTGTGAGTTCGGGGACAGCTTGAGCTCGGGTTCTGCGTGAGCTCGAGGGTCAGATTGAGTTGCGGGTTATTATGAACTCGATTCTGTACAAGATGGACGTAAGTGTAAGCACGAGCTCAATGTGAGCCGGGGGTTCGGTATAGTGTGAGCTCGGGCTGAGTTCGAGATCAGGTCAATCTGAACTCAGGTTCAGTTGTGCGCTCGGGGGCCCGGTGCGCTCGGGGGCCCGGTGCGCTCGGGGGCCCGGTCGCTCGGGGGCCCGGTGCGCTCGGGGGCCCGGTGCGCTCGGGGCCCGGTGCGCTCGGGGGCCCGGTGCGCTCGGGGGCCCGGTGCGCTCGGGGGCCCGGTGCGCTCGGGGGCCCGGTGCGCTCGGGGGCCCGGTGCGCTCGGGGGCCCGGTGCGCTCGGGGCCCGGTGCGCTCGGGGGCCCGGTGCGCTCGGGGCCCGGTGCGCTCGGGGGCCCGGTGCGCTCGGGGCCGGTGCGCTCGGGGGCCCGGTGCGCTCGGGGGCCCGGTGCGCTCGGGGGCTCGGTGCGCTCGGGGGCCCGGTGCGCTCGGGCTCCGTTTCAGCTCGGGCTCCGTTTCAGCTCGGGCTCCGTTTCAGCTCGGGCTCCGTTTCAGCTCGGGCTCCGTTTCAGCTCGGGCTCCGTTTCAGCTCGGGCTCCGTTTCAGCTCGGGCTCCGTTTCAGCTCGGCTCCGTTTCAAGCTCGGCTCCGTTTCAGCTCGGGCTCCGTTTCAGCTCGGGCTCCGTTTCAGCTCGGGCTCCGTTTCAGCTCGGGCTCCGTTTCAGCTCGGGCTCCGTTTCAGCTCGGGCTCCGTTTCAGCTCGGGCTCCGTTTCAGCTCGGGCTCCGTTTCAGCTCGGGCTCCGTTTCAGCTCGGGCTCCGTTTCAGCTCGGGCTCCGTTTCAGCTCGGGCTCCGTTTCAGCTCGGGCTCCGTTTCAGCTCGGGCTCCGTTTCAGCTCGGGCTCCGTTTCAGCTCGGGCTCCGTTTCAGCTCGGGCTCCGTTTCAGCTCGGGCTCGTTCAGCTCGGGGCTCCGTTTATCCCCGTTTCAGCTCGGGCTCCGGTTTTTCAGCTCGGGCTCCGTTTCAGCTCGGGCTCCGTTTTCACCGCTCCGTTTCAGCTCGGGCTCCGTTTTCACCCCAGCTCGGGGTCGGTTTCAGCTCGGGCTCCGTTTCAGCTCGGGGTCCGTTTCAGCTCGGGGTCCGTTTCAGCTCGGGGTCCGTTTCAGCTCGGGGTCCGTTTCAGCTCGGGGTCCGTTTCAGCTCGGGGTCAGTTTCAGCTCGGGGTCAGTTTCAGCTCGGGGTCAGTTTCAGCTGGAGTTGCGTGTAGCCTTGACTGCCTGTTCAGGTAGTGGTAACAAATCTCATGACGACATTCACTAACGGAAGGGATTCTTTTCCTGGTGACTTTGCCAACAATCCCCAAATATCAATTTCATTTGCCCTCTCCCCCCAACACCTCCCATATCAATGGCACGTTGTTGTAGTTTTGGTCTATTCCAGAACAGTTTATGCCACCGTCCAGTCCGTGTCCGCAGTCAGGCCGACCAAATACAGGGCCCGATCCTTCTCCAAAGCGAGCGTCACTTGAGGCTCTTACAGCAAATCCACATCCCAAATAATTGCAAATATCTCCAGCAACCTTCATGCTCAGGGTGTGTCAACAAACTGTTCCCCAAGTGTCATTGCTGTACAGCTCTACTCTCCCCGCACACCGGTTCTCTCCATTCACCAGTCTGGGGGGCTTACCTCCTGCCAAGTACATACAATACACTTTCCACAGCCGCAAATTCAAACATATATACAATTAACAACATCTATACCATCACAAACTGCGGAGGTGTGACACTGGTTTAGTAGAGTAATTGTGCCACTGATTCAGCAGCGGAGGTGGGAAAATCGCTTAGGAGAGGATGTTTGACAAGGGGTTAGCCGAGGACGTGTCACATTGGTTTAAGTGTGAAGCTGTGATACTGGTTATGCCTTAGAATACACTAGAATATACAGCACAGCAACAGTCCATTCGGCCCAATTGTTCTATGCCGTTGATCACCCCCTAATTTCACTCTTCTGTGTTCCCCACGCCCTGTGAATACCTCGCGTTTTAACACCACACCAACCGTGCTCAAGCCTTGTGCTCTGTCCCTGTGCTGATCCCACTTTGGCTCAACCAACTTGTACTCAACTAGCTTGTGCTCTTACACAACTTTCTGTTAACCCCCGTCCTCAAACTCACGATGCCTACGCTTTCTGTTTGCACACTCTCTGCTCATCCTCCTGTGATAACCGCCACGTATTCTTCCGTTTGATTACCACACCCGCCGTCCATTTGTTGTTGCTCCACAAGGTGCTGAATCCCCACTGCAAATTCACGCTTTACCTTCTATCGCCAGGACACTGATCTCCTATGCTCAACCCCCAGCACCTTCGCCCCACCCACATCCCACCGTGTGCAACTCCTGGTTCTCCCCACTTTGTTCTGCGCCAGTGTTCCGCAATGCGCTCACCCGATGCTCAACGTATGTTTTTCAAACCGCTGTAATCACTCCCAATGTATTTCGTACCCGGATGCTCTCAGTATACCCCTGTGCTCAATCCCTGTGCTCTGCCTCACTTCACTCAGCTCCATCTCTACTCATCGCCTGTACTCACTTCTCTTTAGCTCCTCTCCCGCTTTCCAGTCCGCCATGTTCTCTCACTTCCCTGTTCTAGCACACCATGTTCTCAGTCTTATTGTTTTCAGCCCCTGTGCACACACCCACCGAAGCTCACCGCACACGTGCTCACTCCCCGGCTGTGCACACACTTCTTGTGCTGAACCCCTATTGCGCACAACCTCCGTCTACTCAAACCCTGTTGCTCACCGCCTTGTGACCCTCCTGTGCTTTCGACTATGTGCTACTCCAGCTTGTGCTTATCCTCCTGTGCTTCCCACCATTTGCTTGCCACCCATATGATCACTTCCTCATTAAGTCTCCTGTGTTTCCCACTGCCCTGTGATTACCTCACGTGTATTCAGCACCCGACTTTTGCTCATACCGCTATGTTCTCCGCCTGTGCTCACCTCCACTTGTACTTAATCCTCCACCTTCTGCTCTTAAACTGCGTGCTCTTTCCACCGACTGTGCTCAACCCCAATATGACTACAAGCAGTCTTTAGAACACCAACTTACGCACTCTATCTTTGTTACGCTTCACGTGGCTCTGCTCCCCGCCATATCTTACCCACCTCTGCTCGCCTTGCGTGCTCTTCGCCTGGGATTGCCCTCCAACTGCTCCCCCTCTGCTGACCCCTTCCTTTTGCTCTCCAATGTGCTCAAGCCATTTCTTCTTATCCATACTCTGCTTCACTTCCCCTGTACAACAACAACAACAACAACAAGATTCCATTTATAGAGCGCCTTTCACGTCAGGAGGACGTCCCAAGGCGCTGCACAGTTGGGTCATGACCCGAGCAGGGGGGAAATGGTCAGGGTGAGGGGAGGGAAGGGAGGGAGAGAGGAGGGGGGAAATGGTCAGGGTGAGGGGAGGGAAGGGAGGGAGCGAGGAGGAGGAAGAGAGTCGAGAGGGGAGCTGAAGGCACGGTCAAAGAGAAAGGTTTTGAGACCGGCCTTGAAGGAGGAAAGGGAGGAAGCAAGGCGAAGGCACTGGGGGATGGAGTTCCAGAGCCTCGGGGCTGAGAGGCTGAAGGCCCGACCACCGATAGTAGGGCGGTTGGGGCGGGGGACGTGGAGCAGACCGGAGCCAGAGGAACGGAGGGTACGGGCAGGTAGGTAGGGGGATAGTAGGTTGGAGAGGTAGGAGGGAGCAAGGCCGTGAATGGCCTTGTAGGTGAGGATGAGGATCTTGAAATCAATCCTCTGGGGGATGGGGAGCCAGTGGAGGCGAGCGAGGGTGGGAGTGATGTGGTCCCGAAGCCTGGTGCGGGACAGTACACGAGCTGCAGAGTTCTGAATGACCTGCAGCTTGTGGAGGGAGGTGGCGGGAAGGCCGGCGAGGAGAGAGTTCCCATAGTCCAGCCTTGAGGTGACAAAGGCGTGAACCAGGGTTTCAGCAGCGTGAGGGGTGAGGTAGTGCCGTAATCTGGCGATATTCCGGAGGTGATGGAAGGCGGTGCCAGTTGTGGTGCGGATGTGAGGGAGAAAGGACAGCTCAGGGTCGAACAAAACGCCGAGGTTCCTGACTGGCTTTGAGAGGTGGAGAGTGCAGCCTTGGATGCTGATGGTGTCAGCGCCTGAGGTGCGGAGGCGCTGACGTGAGCCAATCAGGAGGGCCTCGGTTTTTCGCACGTTGAGCTGAAGAAAGTTGTCTCTCGTCCAGGACTCGATGTCGGACAGGCAGGCTGTCAGGACATCGGTGGTCGTGGAGTTGAGAGTAGAGGAGGAAAGGTAGAGTTGGGTGTCATCCGCATACATGTGGAAGTTAACCCCATGTTTGCGGATGATGTCACCGAGGGGGAGCATATAGAGGGTGAAGAGGAGGGGACCGAGGACAGAGCCCTGAGGGACACCACATGAGACAGTACGGGGGGTGGAGGAGAAGCCATTCGTTGAGACGAAGTGAAGACGGTGGGAAAGGTAAGAGCTAAACCATTCAAGGACAGTGCCTTGAAGGTTGAGGTGGGAGGACAAGCGGTGGAGTAGGATAGCGTGGTCGACCGTATCGAATGCTGCCGATAGGTCGAGGAGGACGAGGAGACAGAGGGAGCCCTGGTCACAGATAGTCAGGATATCATTGGTGACCTTGACCAGGGCAGTTTCTGTGCTATGAGCAGCACGGAAACCTGACTGAAGGGGTTCAAAAAGAGAATGGGTGGAGAGGAAAGAGCGCAGTTGGGAGGCGACAACTCTTTCCAAGACCTTGGAGAGAAAGGGGAGGTTGGAGATGGGCCGGTAGCTTGATAGCTGCGACGCATCAAGGGAGGGTTTTTTCAGGGTGGGCGTGATGATGGCAGTTTTTAATGGAATGGGGACAGAGCCAGAGGAGAGGGACAGGTTTATGATGTCAGTGATGTGTGGGGCAAGAAAATGGAGCTGGGAGATAAGGAGTGGAGTGGGGATGGGGTCAAGGGAGCAGGTGGTTGGTTTTAGGGATAGGATGAGTTCAGTGACAGAGGGTGGGGAAACGGGTACGAAGGTGTGTAGGGGAGGATGGGTAGGAGTCGGAGTGTGGGAGGGAAGGGGTGGGTGGTGGGTGGAAGTTGGAGGGGAAGTGACCGCGGAGCGGATTCCCTTGATCTTGGATTCAAGGAAATCCAGCATCTCCTCGCAGTGAAGGTTGGAGGAGATGACCTGCGCGGGGTGGCGGGGGGGACGGAGGAGTCGGGATGTGGTGGAAAACAGTAGCCTGGGGTTGTTCTTCGCCTCCAGGATTATCCTGGAGTAGAAGGACGACTTGGCCGAGGCTAGAGTGGAGCGGTAAATTTTGAGGAGGTCCAGCCAGATTTGTCGGTGGACCGTTAAGCCGGATTTGACAAAGGTGCGCTCAGCAGCCCGCACCTGGCATTTCAGTGAGCGGAGGTGGGTGGTGTACCAGGGGGAGGAGCGGGAGTAGGAGACAGTGCGGGAAGTGATGGGGGCAAGAGTATCGAGTGTGGAGGAGAGGATATTGTGGAGGAGGGAGAGAGGAGAAGAGGGGTCGGTGAGGGTTGAAGGCCAGAGGGAGAGGAGTTCAGAGGACTCCAAGGCATCGGTTAGGGATTGTGGGGGTAACTTCTTCCAAGGGCGGTAGAAGATGGTGGTGGGTCTGGTGGAGGTGGGGAGGGGGGTGGAGGTGGTGAAGGAGATGAAGTAGTGGTCGGAGATGGCCTTGTCGGTAATAGTGACATCCGAGACACTGAGGCCCCGGGTGATCACCAAATCGAGTGGGTGGCCGTGACTGTGAGTGGGGGAGTTTATGTGTAGGGAAAGGTTGAGTGAGGAGAGCAGGGAAGAGAAGTCTGTGGAGATGGAGCAGGAGGGGGTGAAGTGTAGGTTAAAGTCGCCCAGGATGATGAGGCGATCAGAGGAGAGGCAAAGAGATGTGAGGAGTGTTGAAATGTCAGAGATGAAGGTGGGAGAGGTTTTAGGGGGCCGGTAGAGGAGGAGGATTTTAAGGGAGAGGAATGAGGGGTGGGAGAGGGTGAGGTGCTCGAAGGAGGGGAAAGAGCCAGAGGAGTAGGGGGATAGGGCAAGTGGTGTCCTTGAGATAAGGGCAACACCACCGCCACGGCGGTTGGGGCGGGGGATGTGGTGGGAGGTGTAGCCGGGTGGCGTGGCCTCCGTGAGGGGGAAGGTGTCGCCTGGGG